TTCTTTGATTGCTCATTAAACCTCACTTGTAAAGAATGGAAAAATATCAGAGGAATTTCAGCAGTTCTCAGAAAAGATTCTATCAATGAACCCAGTAAAGACAGACTCCTCAGTGAGGACTAACTCAGACTGTCAAAGTTACCCTCTGCTCTGGCCATCTCCAGCTTAATTAATGAACTGAGAGAAGTCTGACCTACTTTGGAGTTTGCAAACTATTGCACAGCCCTTGGATTTCTGTGTAAGATGAGGTGGCTACTGCTTCTTAGTGTGCTGGTATTAAGTCTTGGGACAGCAAGAAATTAAAGACCACCAGGTCAGGGTGCTCTTATGAATAAAGCACATAGGCTGGGTATGTGCTGAGACTGGCAAAACTATGCTGTTGCTACCTGGGACTGACCACGCTGTATTTCAGAGTGTTGTATAACAAACACTTATCTACTTGGCTAAACATAAATCCACAAAGCCAATTTTTTTTCAGCCACTCTACTCTGTACTGGAAAACACAACTCGAGGTGTTCCTCATCACCTAAAATCTTTTTGAGATGGACCACCTCGGCCCTGTGTGGCACTTTCACAGCCAGATGCACAGCCCTTCTGCACTTGGGCACGATTCACAACTGGTACTGTTCTGTGACCCACCCACTTTTCAGCTCACCAGTATCTGTGTTCACTCAGCCTTTCATTTTTAAAAGCAGCTGGTAATTTCAAGCAACCAAAAAGAGACACTCAAGTCAAACTTCCAAACATAATGGGGTTTCAATCTTTCAGCATGGCTTGCACTGGAAGTGAATGAAAAGAAAATGGCATTTCAAGACAATATGCATTCAGTACACCTAAGATCTGTCCAGCAGCTCAGAGAGATGAACACACACATTAGAGAAATGATTGTTCACTGCATGGAACCAAACCTACTCCTTTTAGTCTTTGAGCAGCAGCACAGTACCACAGTAAGAGCTTTTGCAACATTCCCTATCACTTCCACCTGTTTGTGAGGGATAACTGACTGATGAGTGGACACAGAAACACGGGTACTGCCCACCACACACGTGCTGCCAGGAGCTGGTTCTGAGCTGGGGTCCACCATGAAGAGTTTGCAGCCTGCCATGACACATATGACACACGTGTGTCATGTGTTTGCAGCCTGCCATGACACACACAGCAGCACTCAGCTGGTTCTGCTGGACAAACTGCCTGCTGTTCTCATGGAGAATGGGCAACTATTTGTCTCACTTCACAAAGGCTAAGAAACCATTCAGACACAGCACAAAATAGCACCCTTATTAGAAGAATGTGGATCACAAGCTGTGCATCTATTTAAGAGAGCAGTACTAAAAAAATTCGTATTTGGTTTGGCCACTTAACTGAAAAACTAAGTGGATTTGGTCCAAACAAGAAGTGAGGGCTTTTTATTCTTCCTTGCAGACAATGTTTTCTTCTGTTTGCTGCCAGGGCATTTACTTTAGAAACCAATCACACATCCAGGAGAAGAATGATGAAAAAGGGTAACATTTCCCTTGTGTCCAACAGTGGAAGAACATTTCCAGGGATTAAGAAAACAGATTCACATCTTTCTTTTAAGTTCAGCTCTATGTTTCCCCCTTTCAGTGAGAATATTTTCAACAAGCAGATACACTAACCACCAAACTCTATCATATTTGGAGCAAGTCACTCCTCTACACCACTTCACTTGAATCAGGCTATGCAAAGCAAAATGAGAGGACTATGAAAGTGAAGCAAACCTCCACTGAAGAGTCCATAACGTGCTGCTGTGGTCTCTCCTTCCCAGGTGATGACTGGAGGGCACTGAATCTGTGTTTTCCACATTTCAGGCAAATGTCTAGTTTAAACCATTTGGTGAATTCACAAGAATTCTCTCACCTTAATCCACTACAGCCATGCTTCACATATACTGGCACATAAAGCATTCACATGGAGTATGTATAAAAAGGAAAGATCATTCTGTAAATATAATTTCTAAGTATTAAAGCCATAGTACAAAAACCATTCTCTGCAAGGCCGTGGTGATTCAACACTTACAAGGTTTTCTCAAAGAACAGAAATCATACAAATCAACAAAATCTCTTTTCCTACCTCCTCAAGCAGCTTACGTATGGAAGAACCTGAATACAGCAGATTGTATCTCATAGGCCTCCAAAGCACTGCTCCAGCTTCTGATCCTAAGTCTGAAGCCAAATTTCCCTCAGCTGCACAAAGCTCTTTGAGATTTAGGGCATAACAAAGATCAGCTGTAGTTGATTAATTTGGGTGCCTGGAGGGCACAAGAGGAGTCTTGTCACATACAATACTTCAGACTTGTGAAGAGAAGCCACGAAAACTAGCAAGTGGTGTTGACTGGCAAAGCTACATGGGGAAGCAGGCACTGGCACTATTAAAAAGAAAAAGCTAATTAAAACAGAAACCAAGACTAAGCAGAATTTCTCATGTCCATCCTTTCAACAGCAGCCTCAACACTTTGGAGTGCAATGGAAAGAAGATGGTCCTTTTCCATTATATCCATACTTACTCCATTGCTAATAGCTCAGCAGAAGCCAGTCCATCCCCTCTGCCTCAGACTCCACCTACATTTAGGGCCTTCCTGCTCTTTTAAGAGCATTTAAGTGTCCTTTGGGAAAGCAGCACATCTTCCAGAACTGCAGCCACCTCAGTGCTGAGCCCTAAACCATTGCCTGACAAATCCTGACCTTTCATCTTTGCCATCTCAGTTCTCCCCTTAAACACCCACTACATTTAATTTACACTCGTCTCAAACCCCAGTGCTAAAGACTCAAAGGCAAAGCTTGCACAAATGCTGAATTTCAGTAGGCTGAGTCAACAAACTTGACCTCTTGGCATTAGGAGCTGTATGGTGACTTGTCAGCAGCTGTTGTGCTGTGTTAGCACTTCGAGATGACCTGCAAATGTGAACCAAAGGTACTGACTTAAACTTTCTTGTTTAAGACCCAAGAAATCTGTATAAATGGGGCATCTGGCACACGATTTTCTTAGTATTAAGGCTGCAGACCTCCCTCAGACAGGACACCAAAGTGATGCATTTGCGAATTGCTTGAATCACTGTATCAAGAAAAGTTTCACAAATCACACAGATGGCTTAAAGAAACAAGTAACAGACAATATTTCTACCTACACTTTCTCAGCACACTACAAAATAAGTATCAAGCAATTCTACAGGGAGAAGCTGGGGCAAACAGCACATGTCTCTGTGCAAGAAAAAAAAAAAAAGGATGAAAGACTTCTAAGTCAAGGAAAGAAAAAAAAGCAGGAAGTGCACCTTGTGGAAGTACCAGTAGAACTTGCTGTAGATACAATTTTGGCAGCTGGTTCTTCTGAGCTGAACAGCCTTCCACAAAGGCCTACTTACAGTTCCAGGAGAATGGCATTTGAAAAGCAATTCTCCTCTCCCCATTAGAAACAAATACTAGGAAGCAGATATTTAACTGATGAATTCAGACTGACTCTAATATTAAATGGGGAATGCTTGTTGGAAGCAGGAACTTCAGTGATTTGTGTCCTGTCATTCCTGGGGTGACAAGCACCCAGAAGCCCCAGCCTTAAGACCACAGCACTAACTGCCATAGGTAAAAAAGAAAGGGACAAATTCCTGCTCCAAGAACTTTACAGCCCATGGTGAACCAAACCACCCAGTCAGACCCTCTCTTAAATGAGAGAAAATATATTTCCTCATCAGCTTCCAATTCTCAGTTCACTTACTACCAAATAACATTTTCTTGAGGGTAAAAATCATTAAGAAGAGAGATTCCAAATGTCAATTTTCAACCTCCTAGCTCAGCCCAGAGGGGGATATCAAGTGCAAAGATGGTTGTGGGGCAGAAAGCATAAAAAGATGTGAGGCATTTCAGGATGTATCAGGTAGGTGTTGTATTAATCACCAACAGAAGTAAGGTTTCCAAAGCAGTGTAAGCTTTCATGGTATTCACTGAACAGCAATAAGGCCATGTTGAGGTTGAAGGTAGAACTGAGGAGGCAAACCATTTTAAAAGACTATACAAAGCTAGGGGAGAAAGCTCATCATAGATTCACTGTCGCATTCCCCTTGTTCCAAACAATATCTGGATCCACCATCTGCACTGGCTTTAGCACATGCCAAGCCCAACATATTTCAGAAAATGTCTTAGCAACGTCTTGCATCAGTGTTTCACACACTTAGGGCTCCAGAAAACAAGATCCTCTATTCCCACTCAGCAATCCTTAGAGCCAAATCCTGCTAAAAATTTAGTATATCTACCAGAGTGGCCTCTAGGTAGTATCAGCCAAAGAACACACAAGGAGCAATAAAAACTCCCTCCTTAGAACTCCAGCATACAACAGTGATCAAACTGGACTACCCTCTGCTCCTTCCAAACTCCTTATTGTCTCCATGGCTTTCCCCTACAGACAACAGAAAGTTTCCCTTGTAACCAGTGTACTCACGTGATCTTAACACAAGTTACAGACTGCCAAGCTGTAAGTCTAAAAATCAGTACTGCTCAGAGGTGGAGCTGATAAGGCTGGGAAAGTTCTGATTTGTTCAGACAATTAAAGTTACAAGTATCAAGCTTCATTTAAAAAATTATGTATATATGTATATATATATATTTTTATATATACACACATGTATATATAGCTTGTATCTCCATCAGCTAAGCTCTGTGAAGGTGCTGTCAATTTTTCCTGGGTGCTCCTTCAAAATTACAAACATCACACAGTTTTCAGGGAGCTATTGAAGTTTTTTTTAAAGACCAGAAGACTCATTCAACATTTTAAGAGAACCTAGGAATAAATCCACTGGAAATCACATTATTTTAAATTTCCCTTTAATCCTGCATCTGACAAGATGATGAGAATGCTAAAAAGTTGGGATTAGTGAGGAAGTGCCTCGGCAGACAAATGTGATGTAGCAACTTTTAGGCACAGCACATCATGATGTAAACAGCTTCACTGCCCCTGCTGGAATGTCTGTGTTAGATCAAAAGAAAACATACCTAGAAGTGCAGTGAGTTTGGGAAGCAAACCAACATGTACCATTTTACTTCTCAGGCCTGTGTCAAAGGAGAGGTTTAATAAGAGTCGAAGAGTGATATTCAGCAGGTCTTCATGTTCACAAGGTACCATTTTCACAAGTTTTTCAATAATATCCATTTCAACCTGTGTATCAAGAAAAAAAAATCCATAATCCACCCAAACTTTGTCTTCAGTATAAAAGCCCTCTCAGCATGTTATATATTCACAAGCATGTGTATGCAAATACAAATCCAATTTGTAGCCATAATAGTGACTGTCAATGCATTTCCATCTGAAGTAGTTCTGCTTATGCCTTTGTGGTTCAAGTCTTCTAGATTGGGTTACTGGGAAATGTTGATTAAAAACGTTTTTTCAACCAAGCAGTTCAGATGTCTTGGAAATATTCCTCACAGTTGGAATACTGCAAGAATGTGGTGAAGACATCACTTGCAAAACTAGATTGGGGTGGGAGAACTCATTTAAATTTAAACACAAGCAACTCTGGAGCAACTGCCATTAGAGTCAAAGAGAGACCCAACTAAGAAAGACAGAAAATTGGCATCCAAAGAGAATCTGAGACTTTTCATTATGAATTTCAAATGAACCCCTAGACAGAAGTTTGCATGTGCTCTCAGAAGAGGCATGTTGCCCTGTGTGTTAATTTAATAAAAGCATGAAAGTCATCTTGAAACATGTATCACTCCCAAATTAAAAAGTGGAATCCAGGAACTGAGAAGTGGTATCAGTTCCTGAGATCATGTTCACTTTACCAGCCAGAAAAGACATCTGAGCATTGACTGGCAAGACTTCAGAAAGTTTTTATCGTGTTCTAAGCAACATTTCTCTGCTTTTTTTTTTTGACATAATCTTTTAATGCATTCATTTTTTGTTTCCCAGATCCTTCTTTGGCCAGAAGGAAGCACATAAAATTACTTTGCTTTCTTCAGACTTTTGCACGTATGTAACTGGTCTTCCAGTTATAAATACACACAGAATATCACTAAGAAAAGAAACTCAGCTCTCCCCACACAGCACAGTGCAATAACCAAACAACTGACTGGATGGCTTTGATCAAAGACAATCAGATAGCAACAACTCCTACCTCACTGCTTTGACTTTAATATGGCACTTGAACACCACAGGAAAGAATGTGCTATAAATACACATGGATTATTCAGTTTTACTCAGAATCAGGTGCTGCACAACTAATCTGTGTTCATTTGGCCTTTGACATCTTTGTACTATTGTCCAATATAAATATCAGAACACCTCCTCCTTCATTGGTAGCTTTCCTTAATAATACTGTGGAGAAAAATGTATCATCTTTATTATCCGTAAGGAATGCTCACACACCTGACCTAGAACATACAAACCTTTCCAAAACTATTAAAACTCTCTGCAATAAAATAAATTCAATGGAATGTAGAGAGTGGGCCAGCAAATCAGAGGGCTGCAGAGCTAATTCTTATTTTCTTAATACAGTCCCTTATATAAATAAGGGAGATACCTCTTGTCTGCAGTGTTCAGCGCACAGTTCCAGTAACAAAGCAATTAATTCACTATTCCTTTTAAACAGATCTTTTCATCTCACAATCCACATGTATCATTAATCTCAGATTACCTCTTGGATACAGAAAATGTATCATTTTCATGTAACGCCATTGGTATAAAGGCACAGAAGTGAAATCGTGTATCTATTAAAAGATCAGTAAAGGAGACACTTGGCTAGAGCTTAAAGTCACAAAAAAAATCATGCCAGAGTTTCAGAAGTGTAAGACTTCTCTAAAAAAAAGGCTTATGAAGAATACCACTGCCTCTGTTCTCAGAAATTACTGGTAGTATGAAGGAACAGTTGAGAGGGTGCCTTTGAAGACCAAACTGACCTGGGAAACAAGTGAACTCATCCAGCAAGCTCCATAAGGACAACCACCTCTCTTTCCAAAACAACACATGGCAGAGACAATAATATGTTGTCAAAAAAGCATAATTTGGGGGCAAGATCATTGGTGTCACCACAAGCGGGGGTATTAGAAGACTATGGGGTGTTGGCTTCAAAATTTGGAATTTCATGTATCATGTTCTGTGTTTGGGATGACAGTTCTTCAAAAATGTTTGCCATGTGACATGACTGGACGTTGTGCTGGATAAACAGTGTTAGAGATATTTAGGGTGAAGACAGATGTCTCCCTCTTCCCTCCACCCACATGAAACTTTCAGAACCCCAACCTTTCCAGCATTGCAGCAGAGTGCCACAAGCCTTACCATATCATTTTTGTTCTCCATAAAAATGCTGAGTTTCTTCAGGAAAGTTACAACGAGGATAAGCAGCTCAAAATTATCCCGATCCAGTGCTTTCACCAGCATATGGACAATGTTCTTGTTTCTCATCTTCAGCTCAATGCGAGTGTCCTCAGCAAGGTTTAGGAGCAGGTAAATGGCAACTAACAAAGGTCAATATAAATCAGACCAAGAGATCAAAGACAACAGAAATAAACAAGTCTCTGTATACAAAGTAAGTGCTGAAAACAAGACCTTCAGCAGCATTCTGCTCCCTTCCCAACGTATTTTGAAGGAAACTACCAGGAATGCCTTTTATTCCTGTTTAGAAAGCATTAGTTCTAATAGTGGCTTTGAAAAAGATAAAAATTAGGATCACTAGAAGCTTTTTTATTACCATTCTGATAGGAATCATTAAAAAGCCCTTCTCAGGAAAGGTTTGCCACTCAGATAATTTCAGTCTAACATTAAGTGTATTTTAGTACAAAAACTGGAAACGAAATCCATTCAACTTGAGTCAGATACAGGCTAAGTTAGGCAAAGTCAAAAAACCCCAAATCAAACGTACAAAACCAAAATACTCAACTCCTGCCAAACTAACATCACGAGCAAAGAAAAGCTGAGTGGATCACTTTTGCTACTCTTCCTCTAAGACTGACAAACCACTTCTAAAATTGTTAGCATAGTGTCAAACAATCTGATTTAGTACTCATCTTCTCCCTGTTCTTTGGCAATGCTCTTTTCACATTCATCCCCACGTTCAGTATGTTTAAGGCATCCTCTTTATAAACAAGAATCCAATAGAATCCCTTAGCCACATTTACCAACAAAGAAATAATTTGCTATTTGGATTTGGTACCTCTGAGGAGCTGTTCCTGCTTGACAACCAGCCCTTTGTATTTCTTATAAGTTTTCTCATAGTCCTTTTTCAGGGTTTGATTTTCAGGATCTTCATCAAGTGAATTGCAGAAGTTAAGGAGTTTAAAGAAAAGTTACACAGTCCAGATGATTAATGTCCTCTGAAGTGTTACTGAATCAAGTAAAAAGCAAGAGATGTATGCAATAGCCAGTGTCAAGACACTACCTGAGCAACAGCCTGCTACACCTGTAATCTAGGGCATGATTTTTCTTTCCTTCTAGCCCTGGATGTATTACATCTCAATAGGCAGCACAAATGTTCCTAAGACATACTGCTGATAAAATAAAACATTATTTTTCTTGTGTTGCTTTTAGTAACTTCAGTTTAACCTCTTCAGGATGCCAAACTCCTCACTCGTGGTCTTTTTTGTATCTGCATTTATATTTTGCACTTTCTAGTAAATTCTACTGCAACAGAAGTTGCAGTATACTCATCTCATACAATCCAATACCAGTAATCAAGACAAATTAGAAGCCATCAAGCTACCCCAGAACATCAAAAGGATATCAGCTTTCTTCTTTTTAGCAAGTTCTTCCTGCCAAAGTTCATGTCTCTTCAGTTCATGGTCTATGATATTCATACACAGAGCTCCAATTTTGTAGTGTGTGATAATTCCATGAAATTGAGAAAAACTACATTGAAGAAATAATACTTGTGAGGAATAAATGCAAACAACCCCATTCCCATTTTGACATCAATGGTAGCAATGACCCAACACTGCAGCACATGAAATATTAAAAAAGGCATTCACTGTTTGCCCCATTATAATACTTCTCTATTGGAAAATTTTTTTAAAACAAGAACAATTCCTGAAAACACCAATATTTTTTCAGACTTGTTGAAGGGCAAGGAATAATTTGTTGTTCCAAGTCAAAATAAAAACGCATTCCAGTTTTCATGCGTAAAGGAAAATGTTTTCCAATCAGCCCTGCTTTCCACACTGTAAGTGCTTCAGAACACCCTCTACTCACCAGATCCACAGCAGAGATCTAAAATCAAGTTGCAATGCAAATTCCATTTGAGTTATTTCTAGGCAGGGTATGCTGAAACACTGGCATAGCTAACTAGGAGCAAGCACTCTCTTTGGTTTTGAATACCATTTCTGCCCTGTAGGAATGCTGATGGAAATCACAGGTGGCAGCTCAGCCACCTTTTATTTCTGACAGGAAACTATGGATCAGAATCCTTATTAGTTTCTTCCCAGCTCCCTCACACCCTGCCTGACCATGAGGGTTCTTTTTGCTGGAAGTGATAAAATTGAGGCACAAGTGTATTTTTGACTCAGCAAATTTTTTTCCCTGTTTCAGTGAAGTTTTGCAGCACAGAAAACAAATGAAAAGCCACTAAGCAGGGCTAAGTTCCTTATGTCCCTATATAGAGGGACTCTGCACTCACCTTGAAAAGCAGAAGAAAATATAAATTATGTTGGTAGCCAGTTCGATGCTTTGTTTCCAGTCTTCTCTCAGCACTCTGGCCAATGCACCCAGGGCAGTTTCTGAAGTGAAACAAGATTTAGATGAGCATCAGCATTTCACCTCCCTCCTTTTGTCTTGTGAGCCTCAGAATTTGAATACACCTTATTCTACACCTATCAGTTTTCTAGTGGAAGATTTTCACAGGTATCTCACTTTACCATGTACCACTGCTCACAAATTCTGTTTGGAGACAACACGAAAATAGGGAGTACCCTGGCTGGTCATCCTGTCACAAACCCTGAGAGATGGCAACAGACAAGGAAACTGCAACCAAACACTGAAGTCATCTGAGATACCACCAGCCTTCAGATCTTGTGGCAGCTGCCAGCTGTCTGTTCCATACTACATTGTATCCCCTGTCTGAAACACAATTTTCACTTCCAAATCCCCTTTACATTCTATCTTGACAGACAGTATTTCTTATCCACCTTCCTATTTATTTTTTCCCTTGAATCAACTTCATATTATGTAATAATTCAGTTTATATTTTTTCTTGTCTTATTTCATCTCACTTTTCCATTCACCTTCCCCTGTCTAGTCCCTCTTCACACACACCACATTACATGATCAGAATGAGAAAAGCAGCAACTGGGAACATCAGGCACAAATATTTGCAACAACTCACTGGGGATAAGCCATTATTTGATGGCTCACCATTCCCCTCCCATTCCATCTTGCTTGCTGACACTGCAGGATGGGCATGTACTGAAGTCATCATTTACTTGAGGAATGAGAGGGTATAAGGGCTCAGCAAAAGAGACAAAAGGGGCAAGGAAAAAAAATTACAAAATTAACTTATGTCAGCAAGCAAATCCCCTTTTCAAAGCAAGTTTTCTGATCTACAGGATACAACAATACAGCCTCATCTCTAGCAGTAATGCCAGCTGAAGTTAATTTAGCATCAAAATAGCTAAGATGAGAAAAAACAGCTGAAGTTTATTGAGGGCAGGAAGACTTCAGTGTTAGGCCCATCTTAGAACAATCTGAGCAGCACACATTTGTAGAGATCCAACTGGGCTTTGACATGTATGGAGAAACAGAGCTTTTCAGACTAGAGAAAACCCAAACTAAAGGTGAACTACTTCTCCCTTGAAAAGAAAGCACCACAAAATTAACAGCACAATATTAAGAGACGTCACCACTGGGTTTTAAAATTACCATTTATAAGCAGCTCTTCCAAATTATCAGGATTCCTGGCCAGCTGCAGGATGAGGGCAGAGCCACGCACCTTGTCAGGAATGTCCTCATACAGTAGCTCAATGTACTCATCCATGTCATTGATATTGGCAACTTCATCAATCTGAAAGCAGTCACAAGCAAGGGTTTCACAGAGAGAGATGGCAATTCAACACCATCAATCACAGCGTTACTCAACCACGAGACAAAAGAGCCCACAGCTTGGAGTTAAGATCTTAGGAAAAAAATAAAATACAAGTTTAAAAAAACTCAACACATCCAGAATCACTGCCAATGAACACCAGGAAATCTGAGAAGATTTAATTACTAAAAACAAAGGATGCTCAGACACGACTCCCTGAGTCCTGTCCGACGTTCCAGACCCCACTCGCTGTCCCGCTGAGCGCTATACTTGGAGGGGCCAGTGTGCAAGTCAAATATTTTACCCTTTATGGAGATAATTTTTTTCCATTGTGCATTATTTCCAAACCAAGCTCTTTGTTTAAAAAACAAGAAGCAAAAAAAACCCCAAGAATTCAGCATTTCCTCTCCCCTTTTATAACTGCTTACTGACGCAGCACATGGGGTTTGCATTTCTCTTTTAACACCAATATTTACCTCTGTTCCTTCAAATGGGGGTGGATCTTTTGGCTTACTGGATTTCTCTTTCTTTTCTATAAAGAAAAAGACATGGATGCAGTTACATTACAACATTCACAGATGAAAAACATACCCAGTGTTCTGGTTAAATCATCTGGTTAAGCATCCTGGTTAAATCAAGCTGACCTGTCAGACTAACACAGGTATGTCAGGTTTCTGAAGCTGAACAGCCCACAGGGAGCAAAGCAGACCCTCAGATGAGTTTTGGCAACTCAGACTAAAGGATCACTTACAGCCCCCTCAGCTGGGGGGACCAAGGGTAATAAACCTCAGTGCAAGCCCAGAGTGACAACACTCACTTCCACACCGAGATACCTTGGCAGCTTTGATTTGCCTGTACCCTGTGATACACCAAGATATGTAGACAGAATAAAAGAGGGTAAACCACCCAAAGGAGTTACAATCAAAGCATACATAAAACATTAATTTTTCTTTTAAACTTGTCTCATAAAGATAAGAACTTGAGAACAAAGCTCACCATTTCGTGGTTGCAAGAAACCACAGTTTGTAAGATAACCATAAGGTTGCACAGGATCTGATGTTAAATATGAAACTGTTCACTGAGGATAAAGTTTAAGGTATAAATAGGACCACCAAGATGCCAGGAACTTAAGATGACAAGATGACAGAAATACCCCAAGCTGTCTGCTACACTGTACCAAAGCTTTTCAGGCTCTGAAACTCTTCTCTCCAGCTTTACAGAGACTGCAAATTCAGCCCAGGAATCCTATCTACCCTTGCAATAGGTGCTGACAGAGTTCTTCTAGGAAGATCCTCAAATAGTCCTTTGATGTCACTGTGAGTGCAGATTCAACATGAAGAAGCTGCACCAAATAGCAGAACCTGCATCTCTCAAGTCCTGCTAAAGCTGAAGGCAGCCTGTAAGAACCATCAATACTAAGTTTAACCAAAACAGTAAACTTTCATTGTTAAAAAGATCATTTCCTCAAATCTCATTCCAAGATGGTAATTTTTCCAAGTGTGATAAAACTATACACCTTCCTCACTGTCATTGTCTCCAGAGAACTCGACCATCAAGCAAGTCAGGATCTCAGCCAGGAAAACCCCACCCAGTAGTTGTTCAAGGCTGAAGCACCCCAGCCCCAAGCTACTTTGTGCCTGTGTTATTTACCTTTTCCTGCTGAGGCATCTCTGCGGTTCTGCAGGTAGTACAGGAGCTGTTCTACCTCCCCAAGTTTGGAGGGGTGAATGAGCTTGCACTCTTCAACCACCTTTCGAGCCAGGGAACCAATGTCTGTATTTGCATTAAGACTCTTCAGCCGAATGCTGCAACACAGACAAAAAAAATTAAAAACTGAAAAGAGACTTATCTTCAGTTCTTTGATTATGTTTACACAGTCATGAATTTCTCGAAGCAGAAAGGATCCTGGTACACCTCATGCCTGTGCCTGTCTAAGTGGTGGCTCTCTGAACTCCAAATGGCAACTGACTGCCAAACAGATTTGACAGAGCATAACTGTCCATCAGCCTTCAAGTGCAACATTAAATGCAGCTGTCTGAACAGATCCCTTACAACCATCTCTAAACAGACACTAAAGACAGTAATTGATTTGCAATATACCCAAAAACAGTGCACAGGACCACAAAGGAGTACTGCACACAAAAACAAGTCCAAAATGAGAAACAGTTCTGGGTGTTGACTGCACAGGAAAGTTCCTTTGCAGTGCCTGGAGCCTCCCATAGCTCTGGTAGAGCTGCACCCAGGTCCACAAGCAGTGAGCAGTAAGAAATCTCTGTGGGCACTAACAATAGGATGGATCAAAAATGGAATTCCACCACATCACAGATGCAAGTTATGCTGATCCCTCTGAAAACAGATCAACACTTCCAGTATCTTTAAGAATTTGAGACAACTTAAGGATTCTCTTTTTTTCTTCAATTATTCTTCTTCTGTGCACTCACACAAGGTCTTGTCCAACCTTAATGATTCTATGATTCTAGAAAAAATCCAAACTTGCAGCTTGGAAACAAATATGATAATTCTCTGGGCTTTTTGCATGGTAAATGTTTTACTGCTCTTAAAAGAAAACACCAGGCAAAAATAAAATGCAGCTACTGCAGTGAATTCATTAGTGGGGAGGCAGATCAAAACAACAGGAGAGCAAACAGCTGCAGCATAAGGCTGGCAGGAAGTTCAACAGTATTACTTGCTCCAACAGGAACTATCATTTGAGCAGGAATCACTTCACTTTTCTCTATCTCAAGTGCCGACCACGTAAAATGGGAGTAATCCCTTTTCTTTACAAAACACCTTAAAATACAAGGATGAAAACTAGTGTACAACATGTGTTTCAGATGTTAACCTTCCCAGGCACATGTTACTTTCTGGCTCTGAAACCCAGCACTAAGTTTTATAAAGATTAAAACCTACTATTTCTTAGAGGCAGTTGATAGTTTTGAGTTATTGAATCCATAACTGTGAAAGCCAGAAAAAACTATCAAGATCTTGCTAAACTTACATTTTCTGGCATTCCTTGCGTTCCCCCAGCATGGGGTCTCCCAACTCTCCCAGAATTGTTGCTTCCACTTCATAGTGGACAATGAGGGCTTTCTCAGATGGGTGCACATCTATGTTGCCTCCTTTTACCTTCCTGCCATAAAGAAAAAAAGAGGATTAGTTTAAATGAAAAGCTCAGAAAACACACCAGAAATCAGTAACAATGACCGGTCTCCTGTTCTATTCAGACACTAAACTCAAGCCCTGCTCTCCTTCCACTATATTTCATTTCACACCTCAGTACCAAAGCCTAGTGGCAGGGCACACTGCCTCTAGTGCATACAGACACATCCAAGTCACTGGCCAAGCCTCAGTCACAGAAATGAAGTTAAGGAAAGAAATCAAAGGTTTAACCTGTTCCACGTTGCTCAGCTCTGTTAAGGAACTACAGTGAGGAAAAAAAATGCATTTCATCGAGGAGGTGAATTTCCCAGTGGATTCCCCATTACCTTGTCAGTATTGACAAATCTTTGTCTAATGGTATTGATTTAGTGCAGTCATTTAAAAACAGATTTTTTTGTCACTCTCTTGGCTAACTCCTAACAGTTTAAAATCAACCAAGATTGAATTACAAACAATTCAAATTTCAAATTAACTGTTCTCTCCTGAAGCACACACCTTTTTGCTCCTGTTCTTCACCTCCTTGTGTCTTTGCCAGGCTTGAATACAAGATCAACAGCTGCCACCAACCAGTATAAATCAAGCAGGTCTACCTGCCCTTCTCTAGCTACAGACATCTTGAAAAAGTATTCTCCAGGATATGGATGGGTATGTCAATGCCAAAAGGGCCTGTCCTGCTCTCTCCTCCTTTATGCCAGCAACTCTTTATGCCACACAGAGATAGAAGAGCCCTGAGGACAGGGCATGGACAATAGGTCATGAAGATACACATTGGATTCAAGCAATGGCAGAACCACATCCAGAGAATACAGTTACAAATCTCTTCTTTGGTGGTAACACTGATACTTGTCCCTTTTCCACTTGGTATTGCCAATCCAGTCTGTTCAGTCACCCCATAAACCAGGCTGCTAAAACACTGCAGATTAAAAACACCTCTAAAATGCAGGTTTGGTTTTTGGAGTGGTGGTGGGGGGTGTTTGTTTGCTTTGGGGTTTTGGGTTTTTTAGACAGAGCATGTCAATAAACAGAATTACAGGTGGCTTCACCCGCAGTTTTATCAGCATCCATGGGACAGCAGCAGGCTATGGCACAAATGAGACAGCAGCTAACTATGGAATTGGGTCAATCAGATCAGGGAAAACTACTTCAACCTCAAAGAGCTGGAAATGTTAGCAAATCCAGATGCAGCCTGCAGGGTAACCACTCTCATCAGAAAATGTTTGAAATGTATGTCTCCATCTACCCAGTTACTAAGGAGGCCACTTTCCTTTATGCAAAAGACAACTGCAAAAAATACCTTTGTCTTGAGATACAGCTGCCCAAAAACCCCACAAACCACAGAAAGGTCTGCTGTGGGAAATGTCCAGTTCAACTACAAGGACATAAAGTTACAGGGCAAACAAATATATCTCACTGCTAAAGAGCAACATCTTCCACGAGATTGCAGCAGAACTCCGTTATGACCTGAGATATTTTGAAGAACTGATTTTTTTTCCCTTTGACAGTACCTTGAAGCAGATGCTTCATTACAGTATGCTCTCTGTTTTCATGAGGTCCAAACTTGCATGGCAGAAAACTTACAGCAAATTCATTTCAAAAGAATCCAGCTCTCACTCCACACTCCCAAATATATTTCTGATATATTCAGACCTACCAGGAGATCACAACTGCAACCACCCCTGACAGTCAAACCTCTGGTAAGTGACAGCTTAGCAATATTTACAGATATAAAGGAAAGGATGGGTAGAGAATAAGTGGGCCTGAAGGAGCCTGGCAGAGTTTTACAAGAAATAAGCTGAGCTAACAGCTCATCATTCCCAAAAGGATTAGATCTTCCCATGATTCCCCTGCTCCTGAGAGTCACCTTGGGGTTCAGCATGAGGGCTTGTCAAACCCTTTCAGACAATTCCAGCAATCCAACAGGACACTCTTCATGTTTTGGGCAGAAGTTTTTCAATGTGTGACAGTGCTTTACAGAAAAGGAATAATATTTCTTATCTATGATAAGGGATAAAGAGGAAGGAGTGAAACCTTCTCTTTTTGGCACCAGTAAACCACTGATGAGCTTAGCAAGGAGCAGAGCCTTAGCCTAAGACTGCTTAAACGGTTTTAGCATTTCCCATATTTAATTTTTTCCTTAAGAGGGACAGATGGATAAGCTGAGGAACTTACAGCTGCAGAGATTTTCTGCCCTCTCCCACTGACAAACACCCTCGCTGCTCGAGCTGTTTCTGAGCTAATCAAGTCACAAATCAATACACACTCAAGTTCCCTCTCCAAAAAATCTTACCTTGTGAAATGCTTGAGGACCTACACTAAAATATACTACCCAGCCACCGAAGTTGTTTTTCATTTGGAAAACACCCCATTCAGACTGTCAGCATCACAAAAAAATATCTTTATTTATAGAAACAACCCCTCCTCCACCCTCAAATCAACAAACATTTACTTTACTGATTTTTTTGCACATCCTGAGTCTGTAAGTCACTTCATAAAACATTTAAAAATGCAGACATTACTATAACTGGTAGAAGCAGCACTGCACCAGGGAGCTCTCATGCATATCAGCCCATCCTTTCACTTCACCGCTTGCTTTGTCAACAAGAACCCAGTTCTGTTCAAGGTTTAAAAGAGAAAGGCCTTTTCTACAGACAAAAGCTGCGTTAGCTGAGCTCACAGAATCAAAGATCAAGGGTTAATATCCTTTATTAACTAATTCCTTCAGAGGGAAAAAGCAACCCCAAACTATTCTAATTAAAGTGGGACAAATTGCACATGTGGGTAACGCTGAAAATGCAGTAACAAATCCCAGCAAGTCAGACTTGATGGGAGGGGGAGTGCTCATGGAGGATGACAAAGGGAAATAGGGATCAGAGGAGTACCAGACTTGCACACCAGCCCAGTCACAGCAGATATTTTTTGGTTTGTGCTCCCAGAAAAGAGAGAAAACTACACTTGTTGCAGGGATGACTACAAAACAAAGATTCCTCCAAAATCACAAAAGATGGCACAAACTGAACATGCAAGGCTAAAAACAGGCACTACTCTAAAGTTACATCTATTTACTTAATTAAAGGTGGACATTTGATTTTTCCTCATTACGGCAAACAAATGACAGAACTAATGTTCAAAGATTATCAAGAGGTTTTTCCCCCACCACACGGTTTCTAATTATGTATCTTAATATGTGCCTTATGAGGGGGAAAAAAAGCAAAACCCAGACAGCTTAAACAGCAACTTCTGCAAATACTAAGAACTGGAAAGGAAGTGTAAAAAAAAAAAAAAGAGAAGGCCAGGAACTCCACAGGATTCAAGAAGTGATGAAAATCACCTGCACGACCACAGGAAGTGACATTGCTCACATATCACGTCTGAACAGAGGCCTACATGGTCTGGCATCTTCTGGGATTTATTCACTTTTGCTCTGATAAAACTGACAGAGATCTAACAGTTGCCAGCTCAGGCCCTGTTATTTAGGCTGACTGGTCTCACTGCCAAATAGACAGATAAGGGCACCATTCATTCATCACATCTTTAGCATCAAACCCAGATCATACACTTTATATACCATAGCTACCTCTCAGTTCCATCCTAATTCCCAAACTATTCTCTTCATCCCATCCTATTACCTCTCCCTCCCAATCTGCCACGGCATGCTCCAACATCTCCTCCAAATCAGTTAATCTCTCCCAGCTGCTCCCTGAACCTGGCCTTACTGCCTGTTATCCCACCCCTGACCCAGCCACCTGCCCCATCCCAACCCTTAATACCCACAAACCCTCCCCACTCATCTCCTAATAGCATCTATTCTCCTCCCGGCTTGCTGCCACCTCAGTACACCCCAAATGCACAGCCTAAAATGCCACCACAGCCTTCCTCAAACCAGAGCATCCCTTCAAACTACCACCTTCCCTGAACCAGGACCCGTCTCACCACTCCTCCTACACTCACTTCATAAACTTCACTCATCCCTAACCCAACCTCCCAGTCCTCACCCAAGTCTCCTGCCCACCACTCTGGGGCAGGCTGAGGGGCTGCTAAACAAATCTATCTCCCATTCCCAAAGCAAACACCTTACGCCTCACACCACAACCTCCAGCCAGTTTCTAAAACAGCCACTCTTCACCCCCAGTACCCTCCACCCACCTCATGACCTCCCCTCTCAAAACACACTCCGTACTCACCTCCTCACCCATAACCTCCCATCCATCCTCCAAGCCAGACCCCAGTGCCATCAGCAACACCTCTGCCACACACCCCATCACCTGCCCGCAGCCCAAGCCCTCACTCAGCCCCCACCAAAAAGCCTCAGCCCCACAGCCATCACCCCCCCAACCAAGCCCGCCTTTCTTGCCCCCAACCCACCACAGCCCCACTACACCCCCGCCGCACAGGCTAAAACACCTTCAGTCCACGCCCTCGCTCCTCGTACTCCCCCAACCACAAGCTCCCATCCGCCCCCTCGCAACACCCTGGCAGCACCTGCGTCTCACCCGCGTACCTGCACCGTGCACCGCCCCCTCGCCAGCAACAAGCCGAGCCCCATCGCCGCCTTCCCACCCCTCCCCGAGCACGCCCGCCACACACGCGCCCGCCTCCGCCGGTTACACTCTTGAAGGTATCGGGCGTCCTCGCCAATGCATGGCGGCGGTGCGGGGCCGTGAAGGGGGCCGTGGGGGGGCGGCGCCGGGCAGGGCGCGGCCCCTGCGCCGCGGTGCTGGTTACCAGGGAGAGCGCGAGCCCCGCCCGCCCGGCCCCGGCGGCGCCGCGCGCGTCCTGAGCACGCGCCCGCCGGCCCCGCGCGCACGCGCGCCGCTCCCCTCCCCTCCTCTCTCCCGCGTTAGCGCCGCCACTGCAGGCGCGGGGAGGCACAGCCCCCCACCCGCTCACGGGCTCCGTTCTCTGCGGGCGACGCGAGGTGAACAGAAGGGGCTGTTTTCCCCCCAAAATATGCACAAGAGTTAAGTTTC